CCTCCAAAACCCACACAGAAAAGTTTTTTTTTTTTTTTAAAAAAAGGACTTATCAGTCTGAAGCCTCCCGGTGCTCTGCTGCCTCCATGCAGCCAGGGGTGAGTGGCCAAGCGCCCGGCCAGCTCTAGCCTCCCAGTGCTGGGTGAGCTTCGGTGGCTCTGAAGCCAAAAAGACAGGGAGAAAGGGCAGGAAATTCGGATTTCCTGCCCTTCCTCCCTGCCTTTGGAGCTTTCAAAGGGCTTCCTCCGATGTCAGTTCTTTAACTTTGGTGTGCACAATGTTGTCTGCTTCCAGTATTCCAAGGCATTTATAATTCTCATCACTTGAGAGTGATTTTATAATATTGCCAATTTTTAACTCCATTCCATCTAGTTTTTGGATCTTGCCACAGTGTTTACAAAGAGCTGCACATTTGACAATTCCAGATTTTATTTGGATACCTTCACCAAATATATCTGCACTGTGTTTAGCAGTGATTCTATCTCTGTGGAACTTTTTGCATATAGTTTTAGGTCATCCATGTATAACAGATGATTGATTTTTCCTGCTTGTTGTGTAATATGGTAGCCAATCCAATTTTATTTAAAATTATTGACATGGGGATTAATGAGATGTTAAATAGCAGTGGTGACAAAGAATTCCCTTGAAATATTCTTCTTTTGATGTTAACTTCCCCAATTTCTTCAATATAGGCCATTAAGGCAGTTTTCCATTTTTCCATATTTTTCTTCAGGAACTGTTGAATGTCTTTACTAATCCCAAACATTTTTAGGCAGGTATTAAGTTGTGTGGCAATAAGTCAAATGACTTTTTAGAGTCTATCCAGGCCATATTAAGGTTTGGTTTTTTGTCTTTTTGCATTCTTTAGTATCATTTTATCAATAAGCAGGTGATCTTTCGTGCCTCTTGACTTTTTCAAGTTCCATTTCTCTTCAGTTGGGTAAGTGAAGTTTTCAGTTCAGTAGTTATATACGTATTGATCTTACAAGTACTCCTGAAAGGAGCTTAACATTGTTCATTACCCTTTTGATGATCTTTTATTATCAGAAATGTGTGGTCTGTCATCCAATCTTCAGTTGTAGAATGTTGAAGTAAGTGATTAAACTGCACTGCTGTACTTTAATGGAGACTTGCTAGATGTTTTTTGCAGCTTGTAACCAAGTTCCATGGTTATTATGGTAGCTGTGCTATACATGAGCTGGTTTGTTTCCTTTAGCATCTTGGTTGGGATTGTTCTGAGGACTACATTTGCATCATTCAGTAGATCTTTTACTGGTTTACTTTGTAATTGGTGCAAATTGGGGAGCCTTTGTCTTTCTGTGTTCTGATTAATATGGTTTATTATTTTTTCGCTCAATGATGTTAGCCATTCTGTCAACTCATAATTTCTGGATTGTTCAATAAGTTGTTCCTCTAATGATACGTTTTCTTCCACAATTGCATCTACCTCTACCCTCCATTTGTTTTCCACACTATGGTCATTGTTCTGTGTTTATTTTTCTTTTGTTACCTTTTCTAGTTCTTGCAATCCCGGTGCTGAAAATACTTTATTCCAGATGATAAACCTTCTCTGGTCCATTAATCATTGTTCAGTTATGACACTACTTGGGTTTTTCCTTTTCCAATTTTCCATCTTTCTTTTTTGAAAACCACAGGCTGTTGGGTTTGCCTTGTAATAACATTTCATAATTTCTCGATTTTCGGTGAGAGTCCAAGTTTTGAGTTTATGTTGTTCCAGTAGCTTTGCAGCAGCCTGTCCTGGTTCCTCAACAGGATCTGCTAATCCCTGTAGCCC